TCTGCTTATTGAAGAGAAATGGGGACAAGCAGGGACAAGTACATAAAAAAAGCAAAAAAGTGTTTTTTGCTTCAGGGATCCCAACTGTAGTGCAACCCAGGGCTTTATTTCACCAGTTCCTGTACAGTCCCCAGGTGACCTGGAACAGTCTCATGCAATACAATCAGCCCTGCTCATCACCACGCAATCAGGTGGGAAACTAGAGGTCCAATTTCAAACCTTGGATACTAATCGTGACTGTCACAGGTGTGGTACATACATTTCTAATAGCAAAGCTTTGGTTTGCCAGGATGAATGAAAAAAAAATCAACAGGAACAACAGGACAGATACTCAGAAAGCTTTATCGATCCATTTTGCAAGCTTCTACAGAAAACTTTGAACTGGTCTGTCATGTATAAGGTTATGTCACTAGAGATTTTATAGACTTTTTTAAGATCCCCGCAGGAAGATCAGGCTGGATGAAGATTTAATCAAATGTGTGCTTAAGAGAGGTGTGAGTTTAAGTAATACTCAGCACAAAGGAACAAAGATGATTTCTTTCTGTTTTCAACAAATTTCCAAAAGCTCCTGGTAGTTTGTATTGTACTGTGTTAAAAACTGACTTGTGAAGGGCTTATCTATCTCTGCTCATTGGTATTTAATTCTCCTGCTCTTCACTTTGGACATTATAAGTCTCTGAATGTATGAAGTCTGAAAACATATACACACAAATTGCTTCTCTTTCCATAACAGCCCTTTGTGTTCTGGGGCTGATGTATGCTGCTGGGCCAAAGTGACTTTGAACCTAGAGGGGATTTTTGGTCTCAGATGTAACATTACCAGCAAAGAGCATAGGACCTGGCAGGGTATATCAACTGATTCAGCAAAAGAAAAAAATCATCTCCTCTTCCTTGAGGATTTATTCTTGAGGTTTTAGAATAAGTGAATTGCAATAGGAAAAAACAAAGCAAAACAAGAAAAGAGGCTTCTGACATAACTGGGAAAACAAAGATAAGTAAAACAACCTACCCCTACCCCATAGAAAAGACCCCACCACTGTAGCAGCTACGGTCTGGTTTTCAATTCACTACCTCTGCACTGCAGAACACCTGGTTTCCATTTGTGTCTCACACCCTCTCCCCCAAAACAGGCAAACCTCTAGGAGTGTATAACAGCACTGGCCTGGCCACCGTACATGAATTTCCTTCCACAGCATGCAATCAGATCTCATTCAGACACAGACAGGTAGAAATCCCAGAACGCATGCTATGGGGTAAATCATGCACATGCCTGCCCCACAAGGCACAGACAGCTACTGGGATTCCCAAGGAAAGACTGGATTCCTGGTGAGAATAATGACTCCTCCTGGGCAAGCCGAACTACTCGAAACTGAGACTACAGAGAGACAAATGGCCTGAGAGAAAAGCTGACCCATGGTGGTGGCTCTGCCTACAGTAAAGGCCACCCATCATTTTTCAGTCCAGCAAGCAGTTCTTGCACAGTGGTCCTTCCGAGGGAGCCCCTTGGACCTTTGGTCTTCATATCTTCTCCCTCTCCACCTCCACAAGGCCTGTCAATGAAGCAGGGCCAGGCAGCCTTTCCAAGGTCCTTTTAATCTACTCCTCCCACTGCTACAACTGCCAAGGCCAATACTTCAGGCTTGTCTGGAAATAGTTACCCCAACCTCCTGCAGAGCTTCAAGGCATCATCC